TCAATGATTTTGAGGCTTTTAACCCTTGAAATACCATTTTGAACAGTCAGTCATTGATGTAATTCATGAAAAAAACACAAAAACTGAGTTATTTTCTAAAAAAGACTTTTTTTTTTGCCTGGGGTGTTTAGTACAAATCAGTCTTGATTATGTTATGAAACATCTAAACTTTTGAATTTTTTGCATTTATAGTTTTTACATAGCAACAGATTTAAAATATACCATACACTCGAGCCATCAGAGGACAAAAACGTCCCGTTGACTTTAATGCAAAGCACAGGTTTTGATCCTGCATCATCTGCAACAAATAATCATGCTTTCTGTGATGTCATGGTTTCATTTTGGACAAAAGTGGAATTCAGTCATTTCTCCATATGTTGCCCAGGCGAGAGAGTTGACCCATTTCTTTAGATCTTCTGCGGTTTTTATTGAGGTCAAAAGGCCAACCTGACCTCTGATAAGTAAATAAAACACAGGTTGACTCTCCTACTGAACTTCAAAGTGTAGAAAACAAAAACAATCAGTATGTTTATGCACCTGCCACATTCAAACTCCTTGTAGCCTGGTTATCTGGTCGTTTCACTTCTGTGAAAGCCACGGAGCTAAATGAAGAGGCATCTCTCTGTGGAACAAGTTCTGGATCAGCTCCTGCAGCCTGATACTCCTGGAGAAAATGAGGAGAGTGAAACATCTTCAGTGGACTTGGAGGTGGAGTCAGACCATTCTGTTTCCTTGACTTCTTCTCCTGACCCGTCCAGTGAAAGAGAAGGGAGGACAACGGATCCTATCCGCTCGATTTGGGACATGTGGACCCATCGCCTCCAAATGCTTTTCAACACTGGGTTAGATGTGTGTGCTGATGAGCAGCTTGTCCCTTTCAGAGGCAGGCGCAAGTTTCGCCGATATATGCCAAGTAAACCAGCCAAGTACGGATTGAAACTCTGGGTCTCTGCTGATGTTGCCACCTCCTATGCCTGCAAGTGTCAGGTTTACACAGGGAAAGCTGCTGGTGAGGCTGCAGAGGTCGGCCAGGGAAAACGAGTCATTTTGGAGATGACCGAGGAGCTCCAAGGAGTCACTTCACATGCATGCATTCACACTTCTGCCCTTTCATAACAAACTGAACTACAAAGAGTTTGGATGTGCCTGAGCTCCAGCCAGGTGCATAAACATAGTGTTTTTGTTTTCTACCCTTTGATGCTCAGTAGGAGAGCGAACCTGTGTTTTGTTTACATGCTGAGCTTCTGACTTCAATAAAAACAGCAGCAGATCTACAGAAATGTGTAAACTTCCTCGCCTGGACAACATGTGGAGAAATGACTGAATTTGGTGGTGAACAGTAAAAATCATAAATTTGGCTACTTTTGTCCAAAATGAAGCCATTACATCACAGAAAGCATGAATATTTGATGCAGATAACACAGGATCAAAAACTGAGGTTTGCATTGAAGTCAATGGGACGTTTTTGTCCATAACAGGCACAAGAGGGTGGTACATTTTAAATCTGCTGCTACACAAAAACTAAAAAAGCATGAAATGTGATATTTTGCCAGACTCTTGACATATCCAAGGCTGATTTAAAAAAGTTATTTCAGTCGCTCAAAATATGTTTTATGTAAAATATCTCCTCTTTTGTCTGTTTTTTTTTCATGAAAAATGAGTATCACATAATCAAACTGGCATATAAAGGGTTAAAGTTTAGATACATATTCAATATTTGATTTTTTCGATGAGAACTGACGTTGATCTCAAGATTTTGACCCAAAAAGTTGAAAAAAATATTAATCTGGACTAGGGCTGGGCGATATATCGATATTTTTAAAATATCGGTATAATTTTAAAACAAGATATAAGATGACTACATCTTTATATCGATATAACTGGTCAAACTGCTATGCTAGCAATTAGCCGCTATGCTAGCAATTAGCCGCTCTGCTAGCGACATGTTGCTCCATCTCTAAGCGGCTATTACAAGTTTGCTCAATCTGAGAGCCTCTGGCTAAATGTGCTGCTCTAAACTTCGCATTTGGCGTCCTGGTTTTTAATTGTTTGGAGACGTTCAACGTCATCAGAGTTCTGTTTTCCATCCTGCTTGTGCGGCGAGACGAGCCAAACCCATACCCATACCTCCCCTGTGTAATGAAGAAACAACTACGGAAAGCTGGAATGGTCAAATTACCTTATATTGTAAGGGTTTGAATAGTAAACTACAGGGTTACTGTTTTATTTTGAAGGCGAGCTCAACGGGTGAGAAATGTTCCGGTTTTTTCCGCTCTGGTTTGCTATGCTAGTAAATACTCCGTTACGAGCGATTCTGTAGAGAAAGTTAAGACTTTGTAAGGCGACAGTAGCCCGAAAATAATACTCATAAATGAGCAACCAGAGACTCTGAGTCTTTACAGTATAATCGCTGCTATGAGTCAATACTTTTTTGGGTTAGGAGGAAAAATATTGAGATACATCGTGTATCGGAATTCAGCTAAAAGATATCGAGATATAAGTTTTGGTCCATATCGCCCAGCCTTAATCTGGACCATTTTTAAAGCTGTTTTAAAAGTGGATGATTTTGTCCTCTAATGGCTCGAGTGTATAGTAAATTTTAAATCTGTTGCTATATAAAAACTATAAGTGTCACGTTTTGAGGATGTTTAGGACCCAAATATGCCGATACCCAGGAGAACATGAGGCAGGAGTAGATATAAAGAAAAAATCCTTTTATTTGAGGATGAACAAAAATAAATCCAAAGGCAGCGAGCCTAAAGTCCAAAACTCCAAAGCAGGAGAAACAAAGCTCACCAAGAGCACGAAGCAACGCTGACAGAATACAAACAAACCATGGACCGACACAAGGCAGAGACAAGGCAGGGCTTAGATAACAGGGAGGAGTAATTAAGGGAACAGGAAGCAGGTGTGTGGAGTGAGGGCTGGAGGGAAGGCAGGTGACTATAATAAACTAAATGGAGTAAACAGAACCAGAGGAGGACAGATAAAACCTAAAACTACCAAACCAAACCCAAGACTGAGGGAAGGACACACACACAAACATACACATAATGACAAACACAAACTCATACACACATTCACTGAACTGGGGAAATGGGCACGCACGCACACACACACGCACGCACACACACACACACACAAGCAAGCACTGAGCAGGGGAATGGCCACACACACACTGAGCTGGGGACAAAAAGACTGGAGCTACAGACTGGAGGATGCTGAGGATGACTAAATGAAACACCGGACCTGAGGGGACGATATGAAGACCTACAAACAGAAGACACAATATAGAGACGCAGACAAAGGAGCGCTATGAGACACAGAAGGGAAACTAGAGAGGATGGAGAAGCATCAGGAGACACATAAAGGACGGGGCAGATGCAGACCATGACAATAAGTGAGAAAAATTCAAAATTTTAGATATTTCATAACATAATCAAGATAGATTTTTACTAAACACCCCAGGAAAAAAATGTCTTTTTTTTAGAAAATAACTCCGTTTTAGTGCTTTTTTATTTTTATTTTTCCATAAATTACATCAATGACTGAGTATTCAAACCGGCATTTCAGGGGTTAAAAACCTCAAAACTATATAGGGATGCTCGATTATGGCAAAAATAATAATCACGATTATGGTGACTGAAATTGAGATCTCGATTATTTAAGACGATTTTTCAATTAATGTTGATTTTATTTGTTTTTATTCAGTCATAAAATTGCTCAGGGCACAATCAGGACAAAAATAAGAAACAAGATGATCACTAAAAGAACTCCTGATTCCCAGTATAAAAAGACCAATATACTTATAGCTCATAGTTTATGACCCAAGGGCTATAGACCTTGATTTAACTCATGTAAGTCTAACCAGTACAGACCCAAATACCAATATCTGGCAAATACTGACATCAAGAATTATACAGTGGCATTTATAACAAATAAATGCAAATAAATTGATGTTCACAAAATGTTGCATAACATTTATTGAGTCCTGTCAAGGTTCTGTAGGAGCGTGCACTAGCACCGTGTCCTCAGAGAGATTAGTTATTATTTATCAGCGTGAGGAACTTATTTCTACCTTATTTATAAACTATTTATTTACAAGTCCATCAGTTAATGTAATAAATGTCCCGACCACAGCTCCACCCCCCAACCCGGTCTCACAGCAATCAGGGGCAAGCTGCGGGTGTGTTTAGCGCGCCGCACGCGCACATTTAGCTGTTTTTAGCGGCTCAGGAGCCCGCAGGTACGGTGCGTGTCACTCACTCTGGTTAATCCAACAGGAAACCGGCCGTTTCTTTAGCGACCGACACATCACTACATCATTCCCTTTCCTAATGTCCTGAAGAACGGTCCGGAGCGCAGGCGGAGTGTTTAGCTAACCTGCAGGAAATGTCAACGACAGTTATCCAGAAAGTAGCTAAGGGTTACCAGAGATGTTTCTGAGGTGTTCGCTAGGTACTTTTAGGATTTAAAAAGTCAAGAAGGGGGCCTGAAAAGCTGCTAGAAATAGCGTCAAAGTCGCTAAGTTGGCAACACTGTGGGAGGAGCGCTTCATTTGCAACTCAGGGCAGCGCAAGTGGGAGGAGCAAATAATCGGCTTTTGTTTTATAATCGTTCAAAACTCAGATCGTAATTGGGATTAAAATTCGATTAATTGAGCAGCCCTACTCAAAATGATTGAATTTTTTGATGTTTGGGAAGGGCTGAAGTTGTTCAACAGATTTATGAAAAAAGTAAAAAAAAAAACATTTTATACATTTTTATAGCCACTTTTACAGGCGGACGTTTTTGTCCTCTATTGACTCTTTTGTATGAAAATTAAAGTGAAGCCTGAGGGTTAAGGCTCATATGATTTATAGAGGCTCAAAGTTCAATTTCCAATTGTAAATACATTTCATTCTACTGTCAGTTTAAAGAAATAATACAACTGTTATATGTGTGAAAACACAGTTACAGCTGTCTGTAATTCACATAATATGTTTCTGTGTTTCCTACAGATTTTCAACAGGTGGTTCTGGTTAAATAAGAAGCTTCAGAAGAACAGAGTGCTCGTGTCGACCACCAGCACCTAGATTTTCTCCACAAAAAAGAGGAACAGGAGAAACTCTGGTCTAGTATGGAGGGAGAGCATCTCCATTTGAATAAGGAGACTGTTGCTGCCAGGTTTCAATCCTTTAGCCATAAAGCACTTTTAAACACACGAGAGTCCACACAAAGCAGAAACATTTTGCCTGTGAGCACTGTGGACAAAGGTTTCACCAAAAGACTAATTTAACCACACACATGAGAGTCCACAAAGGACAGAAGCCTTTTGCCTGTGAGCTCTGTGGAAAGAAATTTAGCTTAAAGTCAAATTTAAATAGCCACATGAAAGTCCACACAGGACAGAAGCCCTTACCTTGTGAGCTCTGTGGAACGAGATTTAGACAAAAGTCACATTTAAACAGTCACATGAGAGTCCACACAGGACAGAAGCCTTTTCCTTGTGAGCTCTGTGGAACGAGATTTAGCCGAAAGACGACGTTAAACATTCACATGAGAGTCCACACAGGACAGAAGCCTTTTGCCTGTGAGCTCTGTGGAACGAGATTTAGCCATCAGACAACTTTAAACGGACACATGAGAGTCCACACAGGACAGAAGCCCTTTCCTTGTGAGCTCTGTGAAAAGAAATTTAGCCTAAAGTCAACTGTAAATAGCCACATGAAAGTCCACACAGGACAGAAGCCCTTTCCTTGTGACCTCTGTGGAACGAGATTTAGCCAAAAGTCACATTTAAACAGTCACATGAGAGTCCACACAGGACAGAAGCCCTTTCCTTGTGAGCTCTGTGGAACGAGATTTAGCCAAAAGTCACATTTAAACAGGCACATGAGTATCCACACAGAACAGAAGCCTTTTGCCTGTGAGCTTTGTGGAATGAGATTTAGCCAAAAGGCAAATTTAAACAGTCACATGAGAGTCCACACAGGACAGAAGCCCTTTCCTTGTGAGCTCTGTGGAACGAGATTTAGCCGAAAGACAACTTTAGACAGTCACATGAGAGTCCACACAGGACAGAAGCCCTTTCCTTGTGAGCTCTGTGGAACGAGATTTAGCCGAAAGTCATCTTTAAACAGTCACATGAGTGTCCACACAGGACAGAAGCCCTTTCCTTGTGAGCTTTGTGAAATGAGATTTAGCCATCAGACAACTTTAAACAGACACATGAGAGGCCACACAGGACAGAAGCCTTTCGCCTGTGAGCTCTGTGTAAAAAGATTTAGCCGAAAGACACATTTAAACAGACACATGAGAGTCCACACTGGCTTTTCGCCCGTGAGATCGGTGGAAAAGATTTAGTGAAAAGACAAATTTAAGGTCACTAAAGAGTCCATAAAGGACAGAAGCCTTTTGTTTGTGAGCTCTGTGGATGAAGATTTCGCTGAAAGAAAACATTAAACAATCATCTAAGCATCCACTAGGGCTGAACGATCTATTGCAGGGGTCTCCAACCTTTTTTGGCCCGTGAGCTACTTTTACACAATGAAAGTACAGCAGAGTTACTGCCATATGATTTATTTACATTGATACTTTCCATGTGTGAATGTGCTTTTGTTAAACATGCTATACTTACTATATTAACATGCATTGTACTAACAAGATGATCTCTCTGTATTTCAGTACATCAGTATATATTTTTTTTAAAGTATAAGTAAACTAGTGACATTCTTAAAACCTAAATTAAACAAAACATATTTAGTTTTTTAAACTAATCAGGTACTTTCAGATAATGAACAACAAATCTACTTCATGTGAATGATTTGGTAATTTTTTTAGACTGTTAGTAACATAACTTTTTAAGCACACAGGAACAGCTAACCTGTAAAGCTGATGATATTTTATATAAAATACAAGCTAAATGTGATGAAACACAAAACTCTAAATAGTTTGAATTGAAGTGAAAAATGTAAAATCAGAAATAAGACTTGTTCCTGCTCTCCTGATTTACTGAATAATTTTTGGGTTTTTTTGGTCATGAAAGTTAAGTTTTGCTGTATTTATTGCTGACAATATGAAGGTTGGAGGTTTATCCTTTTTTTCTGCATCTTGTAGGTTTTTTCTCCGCAGGTCTGAAGGATGTGCGTTACACAGAGCAGAGAGACAGAGAGCAAGAGACCAGAACCAAAAGAAATGATCACATCACACCAATCTTAAAATATTTACATTGGCTTTCAGTAACTTACAGGATTGATTTCAAAGACCTTTTACTTACTTTTAAATCATTAAATGGCCAACGACCTCTGTATATAGCAGAGATGTTTGAAACGTATCACCCTTCAAAATCACTTAGGTCAGCAGATAAATCCCAACTGGTACAACCCAGAGCCCGCACCAAGCACGGAGAGGCTGCCTTTAGCTGCTATGCGGTCCGTCTCTGGAACAGTCTTCCAATAGACATGAAGACCTCTCCCACCATTTCCATTCTTAAATCCAGATTAAAAACTAAACTTTTTCATGATGCCTTCCATCAACCTATCCTTGCATCTGTGCTCTACTAGGTCTTTCTCTGTACTGTGTTGAATTTATTCTATACGTATTTTATATGTATACCTATTCTGTGCTGTTTTATTGTGTATTATTGTGTAATTAAAGTGAATACTTGCAATAAAGTGTAGTTATTGTGTAAAGCAGTATATACTAGGAATGATGAATAAAAATAAAAACTAGAATTGAACCTGAGCTACATGGTAATAACAGTTTAAGTACTCAGAAACAATACACTAACTTACTAAGTAATTACCATGTAAGTACTAAGTAATTAGAGGACTGTAAAAGGAAACGCTACCAATAATGGTACTTAATATGCTTTTATTTTTGTGTACTATGTTCTGTGTTGTAGCGTTATGAATATGCCATTTCTGCCCTTAACAGCTGCCTTTGACACAGTGACAGTGTGCATGAATTGCCAAGGTCGTGCGCTTGCTTCTGGTGTTTACATTCCAGCGAAGAAGACAGAAGAAGGACGAAGAACGCTTTTCATTAGTTAATCAAAGAACTTTATTTCTAATGAAGCTAATCAAAACAACTGTTGGTCAATAATAATCAGGTGACTGATCTGTGAAATCACAATGTTATGATTTATGTGTTTAATGAATAACAGGACTTGGGCTAACTGAGCTAGACACCCTGATCCACATAAGGTAAACACATGACACATTGTTCACTCATCCAATCAGAACTTCCGTTCTGTTGCGGGGCAGAGCTCTGTGGTGTTTGGTTAATCTGTCCGCTCTGATTCGCTAAGAATTATAAACAACTAAGTTTAATAAAACAGAACAACGCCATTTTAAGTCAGTTCCAACAAAGCATTCAACGCAGTTCCAACCAAGTACTCGACCAGCTCTCAAATCCATCATCGCTAAGAGAAGTGCAGACTGGCCAGCTGTATTTTCTACTTTTAAGCTGAGAACTGTCAAGCTGGAAACTCCTGTCGTTTTACCAAGACGACGGTTCCTTCTGAATAAAAGCTGAACTCTCTACGTGACGCTGAAACCTGCCGTTGTACCGGGAGACTTTCCTTAGACTGGTTAGTCGTGCTGCGACGCTGTTTCACCGGTTCCAGCACCAAAGGAGGGTCCAAGGACCTGGCATCCGGATCTAACTCGGGGATCTCCGAAACGGTATGTAGACTCGGCATAGATGGCGTCTCATGTCTTCCTCCTGAAATCCATCATTATTAGTTAAACAAAACATCATCTTGCCCTCAGACTCGCCTCGGTCAGATGGAGATTCTGAACTGACACACACACCAACACTTCAGCTCACATTCATCAGCATCCATCATTAGTGAGTTAGTCCTGGTGATTGTTTCGAATAATTATAAAAACAAACATTCTTAAACGTCCCATCTCTCTTTTCTCGTCTCTAACTCAATACAAGGTGTTTGAATAAAATTACCTGTGGTAAAAACAACCTCTTCTGATTCTGAGGGCCCGGTCCAAAGATTAATCTCTGGACCTTAATAAAGTGTAAGAATATACCAACTATATTCCACTACAGTGTCAATATTCTTAGATTTTATTTTACACAACATGATGTGACATTTTAACTATTTAATTTCACTTGTGATTGTTTTAACTATGTGAAGCACATTGGGCTACCGTTGTGTGTATGAAATGGGCTGTATAATAAACTTGACTTGAGAGAGTTCACAATCATGTTTTGTTACTAAATGAGACACTCAGCTGAAACTGGGGGAAATGTGGCTGTGTCTCAATTCAGGGTCTGCATCCTTCGAAGGACCCAGTCTACTCGGCCGACGTGGGCTGGGTCCTCCGTCGGCCGGGTAGACCGGATGTTAACGGCTGTGAATTTGGACAGGCCTAGCCTTCATGAACTCCCTCGGCGAACGTTCCGTCGCCTAGCAACCGTGGAACCGCTGAGCAGAAGGGAGAAGGAACTTTAAACGATGGAGCTCGAAGTTTTATTTAGATCTTTAATCATTTCCTTGACTGTTGGAGAGCTAATTCAGAGAAAATACTTTAGACAAGCTGAGCCTGAGCAAAGATGTGATCATAGTTTTTAATACTTTCTAAGGGTCTTCATTTGACCAAAACCCATTTATCACCTTTTAAGATTTCAAGACCCAGCGGATACCCTCTAGTAAACAATTCTCATTTGTAAACAAAATAAAATTCAAGAGTTTAATGCAGAACTGATTTTATTTAGATATTTCTTTTATATGTACATGTTTAATCTTTATTAACCATTTTGTCTAGCAAAATAAAAAGCTATCAAAGTTCTCCCTTCTCTCCTGGGCCCTCTGCTGCTCTGCCTCCCTCTCCAGCCTCATGTCCTCCCTGATCAGCTCCAGGAGCTGGTCATCGCTGTCACCTTCCCCTGGATGCCCATTTTCTCCAGAATAGTCTTAACAAACATGTAAAGAAACAGGAAGAGAAAAGAGGACAACGGGTTATTCCTTTCATATTTTCGCAGAAAAAAATAAACAAACGAGTTTTTAAAATATGAGACACTCGGTACCATTCTGTTTGCAGATGATACAACACTGTTTTACTCAGGATCAAATATTGAGGAGGTGGCTAAAGTGATAAATGATGAACTGATTAAAATTAAAAACTGGTTTGATATAAATAGACTGACACTGAATTTTAATCAAACAAATTTTATACTGTTTAATAATAAAAAGAACAGTGATTTGTCATTGGAAATAGATGGGATTGAAATTCAAAGAGTAAAAGAAACTAAATTTCTTGGAGTTCTTATTGATGAAGACTTGTCATGGAAATCCCATTTTAGTTACAGAAAAGGTAAAATTGCCAAATCCTTAGGAGTATTACATAGAGTCAAGTTTTTACTGACTAATTCTGGTTTGTTGGCATTGTACAATTCACTGATTGTTCCATACTTGACTTATTGTGTAGACATCTGGGGAGCAACATACAAAAACTATACACAACCCTTATTTATTTTACAGAAAAGAGCTCTGAGAATCATCAATTATAGTGGCTGTAGAGATCCATCCAACCCGTTGTTTATTAAATACAAATTACTGAAAATTCATGATTTAAAAGACGGGAAAATCATACAAACCGTGTATAAAGCCAATTTAGGTACTCTGCCAACAAACAATCAGGGGATATTTGAAAAGAGAACCAGTAACTACATGTTGAAAGAAACTGATGTGTTTACAAAACCTAGATTTAGAACTAAAATTAAGGAGTGGAATATATCTGTAAATGGTGTTAAATTATGGAATAACCTTAAAAAATGGTAAATGGTAAATGGCCTGTATTTGATATAGCGCCTTCTAGAGTCCTGAAACCCCCCAAGGCGCTTTACAACACAATCAGTCATTCACCCATTCACACACACATTCACACACTGGTGGGGATGAGCTACAATGTAGCCACAGCTGCCCTGGGGCGCACTGACAGAGGCGAGGCTGCCGAGCACTGGCGCCACCAGTCCCTCCGACCACCACCAGCAGGCAACGTGGGTTAAGTGTCTTGCCCAAGGACACAACGACAGCGACAGACTGAGCGGGACTCAAACCAGCAACCTTCCGATTACGGGGCGAGCACTTAACTCCTGTGCCACCGTAAAAGGGAATTTAAAAACTCTGTTATTTAATATATTCAAAAATGTACCAAATTGAGTTTACTAACTAATTATGAAAATGTAAATTAAATCAATGATCATGATCGCTCTGGAATGAAGAACAGGAAACAGTTTAAAATGAATCTGTGTGTGTCTGACTAATGGTAATTGTATATAAATAGATTATTTCTACTGGAAAAGGAGCAGAAATTATAAGATGGTTTTCTTCATTCTGCTCCTTTTTGTTCAAATTAGATTTTTTTGTTGTTATGTATTTCTTATTGTTTATATGTTTTGTTTGTTTTTATTTTGAATGAAATAAACAATAAAATAAAAAATGCTTTTCCTGAAAGAGAGAAACAAACAGCTTCTATAGGGACCCTGATCACTGGCAGCGATTGTGGTGACTGATGAGTGACCAGCAGAGGCCTCAACATTTCTGCAGACCTGGGTTTTGTTAGGAAACTAAAACTAGAAATTGGCTCCGGTGATTTTATTTTTCAGACACATCTAAACCAAACCTCTGATGTTATGATTAGACTCCATTTTATTGTGAAGGGACATTCCTGCTGCAGCTGGCTGAAGGTGTGGTGTGTCAGAGCTCACCCGGGGGTTCATGATGCCCTCCTGTTTGAAGCGGGCGTAGAACATGTCCATGGAGAAGACTTCGCTCCACAAGTAGCCGTAGTACTGCGCGTCATAGCCGCCTGCCAGATGTCCGAAGGTGGCTGGCATGTTGGTTTCTGTGAGACAGGAGTGCAGGTATGTGTGATGTCACTTCCTGGTAACGGTTGAGTCCCAATGGCTGGACTGGATTTTCTAGACTAAAGCCGTTGTGTGGGTCGTAGAACTGTTCGGGTTTGGTGACGAGAAAAACACGAGCGTTCGTGATATTTTTAAGGTGCTGAACGCTCGTTTAATCAACTCTTGTAGAAGTGTGTGTGTGTGTGTGTGTGTGTGTGTGTGTGTGTGTGTGTGTGTGTGTGTGTGTGTGTGTGTGTGTGTCTGCTCTATCTTCTCGATCCCCAGTGAGTCGTGGAGGATGACTGCTTATACTGAGCCAGGATTCTCTGGAGGTTTCTTCCTGTTAAAAGGGAGTTTTCCTCTCCACTGTCGCTATATGCTTGCTTAGCATGAGGATTGCTGTAAAGACTCTGACACTAGTCAGTGACTCGATGCGACCTGCTGGGTTCCTTATATAGGAAACTTGTTACTGATTGGCTTAATGACCTGACCTGTATTGTTTACTGTGTGCAGGTCCTTGAGACGAGTCAGGTCTTGATTTGGTGCCTTATTAATAAACTGAATGGACCAGTATGAACAGGTGTGTGTGTGTGTGTGTGTGTGTGTGTGTTGACCTGGAGATGGGGGGATTCCTAAGATGTCCACACATAGGCGTTCGTACTCCTCTGCTCCCGCCAGGGGTATCCTGCTGTTGTGTCCTTGGGCAAGACACTTCACGCAACTTGCCTGTGTTAGTGGTGGTCAGAGGGGCCGACGGCACCAAATGGCAGCCTCGTCTCTGTCAGACGTCCCCAGGGCGGCTGTGGCTACAAGTAGCTTACCATCACTAGCAGTGTGTGAATGTGAGAGTGTGTGAAAGCGTCTTTGGGTGTCTAGAAAAGCGCTATATAAGTTCAATGCATTATTATTATTATTATTATTATTATAATAAAACAGTTTGACACCTTACATCTGTAGCTTATCATTATTAGTAGTAGTAGTATTTATAATAATAATAATAATAATACAGTTAATTGTAAATTCTAGGTCAGTCCTCTGACTTACTCAAAGCATCAAAATTCTGTTAGTTGTGAACAGTTTTTCTGTAGTTCTTGTACCACTTTTTACTGCCTCAGTTTTAGTCTCCTGACCCCTTCAGCTTCACGTAGTAATTCCTGGCTGAACACATTCAGTTCTCTTCTCAGTGTTTTATTCATTTGTTAGTCTTCTAGTTTTAATAAATGAAATTCCATTGTTCATGTTTGTTTTGTCTGTTCTTATTGCTGTAAACAAGCACAACGAGTTGCATTTGCGTAGGTCATGTGCTGTGTAGTAGATACAGCTGTCTTGTACAGTTTTATCATCATGGCTCATCGGTGTCCCTAGTGCAGGCTCTTTGACTGCAGACGAGATTTCATTTCAGGGCTGTTTTAGCAGCTGCATGCATCCTGCCAGTGCTGTGTCTGGTAAGGGGAGGAGGTACGGGCAGCTCTAACACACACACACACACACACACACACACACACACACACACACACACACACACACACACACACACACACGTGCACCCACACGTGCACGCACACACACACACACACACACACACACACACACACACACACACACACACACACGTGCACCCACACGCGCACGCACACACACACACACACACACACACACGCACGCACCCACACGCGCACGCACGCACACACACACACACACACACACACACACACACACACACACACACACACACCAGTTGAAGAAGGTGGGACTGGAATGCATGTTGCAGGCCAACACACGTTAGCAGAAAACAAACTCAGAGACAGACGACCGTGTCGGCTGAAACGACATGAGAGGATACCGGGGCATAAAATACACCTTGTTCATCTTCTGCTACTTGTTCTGGGTAAGTCGGACGGAGCCTTACCTGGTCCTTTATGTTTACATGTTCAGAGGGAAAGGTCAACCATCTTACCATGCCATATTTATTTGTAGAGCACATTCAACCCTCCCACTGTCCTAACGGGTGTGACCCCGTGAGGAAAGGTGACCATTGAGGTGGAGCTCACTCCTCACCTCTGCCACATGGACATCAACCCTGCTCACTGGTCAACTTTCCTCACGGGGTCACACCCATTAGGACAGTGGGAGGGTTAAAGCCAGCATGTCAGCTGACCAAAGTGCTTAAAACAAGAGAGGGCGATTTAAAAACAGACGGTAAATCTAATGTTAAACAGAGCCCTCACAATCAAAGAATACAAAAAATATTAAATAAATGCAGCAGAATTCAAACAAAGCATAAACATTTAGTCACAATAAAAATAAAAACAACCAAAAAAAGAGAATTAAACCGTTGAATAAATAAATAGAATCTGGGACAAAGTCCCCTGCTGGGAAGTTAGCTGCCAAAAGCCGTTCTGAAGAAGCAGGAGGCAGCCAGGTAGGTTCACATTCCTAAAGGTGTATTATGAAGTTGTGGTGGAGGTGTTATCCACCAAACCTCAGACATCACGCCTTCTCAGACAGGGATGCTCTGATTTGTGGGTAAGAAAACATCTGTGTGTCTGCAATTACATTAACCTTGCATCATGAGGACATATGCAGCATAGATAACGATTCACTTGTTAAATCCAACATTCCTGATTGTCACATAAAATTATTTCAATGTATTAATATATTCACTTCACAGATTAATCAAAACATTTCATTTAGTATTCATATACCATTTGTTCATCAACCAAATTATTATTTAATGATTACGTAACGTATGATTTGTAAAAGTTCTTCTGTCTCGTGCTGTGAATAAAAACCAGTCTTAGATAAGAGTGAGCCTGGGAGGACCTTGAAGCTCCAGTTGGAGACTTATGTCTCCAAATGACCGATGCTGAAGAGGTGACCTGTAGATTGAAGAACAGATCATTTCCGGAGGCTACACGGCAGAAGATAAATGACCAAGTTTTAGACTAATCAGGGGAGCCATGCTCTCAGGGGTAATGATCAGATATTCGGTCTTTTCAGGGTTTAACTGAAGGAAGTTATCTTCTAGCCAGCTGGTGATCGCTGATAGACACTCTAGTAATTCAGACAGTTTGTAGAACTCAGAATCCTTAAAGGAGCAGTACAGCTGAATATCATCTGCATATAGGTGATAAGAGACATTATGAAAAGAATCAAGTATCTGTCCAAGAGGGTGTGTGTACAGCAGAAACAACAGTGGACCCAAACCAGAGCCTTGGGGTACCCCACAGAACAGATGGGTAGAATCTGACATGATGTGGTTTCTACAGACACTGTAACTTCTGTTAGAAAGGTACGATCTAAACCAGTCTAGACCAGTTCCAGAGATCCCCACCGAGTCACCAAGTCTGTTAATTAAATATAAACAATATTATAAATCAAATAGCTAAAACAATCGCAATGTTACCTTGAGTAAAATGGTCACAGTATGACCACTCCCTATATTTATTATATAATTCACTTATTATAACATATCTGAACCACTGCATAGACCTTTGGGGAACAACCTATAAAACTTTAATAAATTAAATTAACATCTTGCAAAAAAGCAATAAAACTCATTACAAGGAGCAACTACAGAGAACCATCCAACCTGGTGTTTATAAAATTAAAAACATAAAAATTCTATGATTTAGTGGACTACAATCTTTTAGAATTTATGTATAATGCAAACAAAAATACCTTCCTGAAAATGTACCTAAAAGATTGAAAAAAGACCGAGTACATATTAATTAAAAGGACATGAATTATTCATGATACCTAAGCATAGGATAATTGTAATGGAGCGTTGAGTCTCTGTATATGGAGTTAAAATATGGAATAGTCTAGGTAAAGTAATCAAAAATGCAAAAACAATATTTACTTTTACAAAACTGATTAAAACTGAAATACTGGAATTATATACACGTAGATCAGTTATATAAACAAGTGACAGGGTATATGTCCATGTGTGTATAAATTCATGTATGTATATGTTGTATATGCAGGCACGTAGGCAAGCGGTGCATGTGTATATATGTATGGGTGTGAAGGTGTGTAAATATTCTTCTTCCCTTTCAGTTATTATTATTATTTTATCTTTTTTACTTCACAAATTGAAATGATGTCAGTCAACCAGTCTAGCAGTTACTGTTTTCTAAGTTAGTTTACAACTTTCACTGTATCAGTGTTACTCTAGTCGAAGGGGCAGATAACATACGTTTCCTTCCTTCTGTCCCCTTTTCCTTTTGGTTCGAGTAACTTAGATTTTGTGTGTTGATGCTTTTCTTTTTAAATAAATGAAAATTAAATTGAAAAAAAAAGAAAACTTTAACAACATTCTTTGACACATCAACGTCTCTAGTTAGGATTAGGTCGAGAGTGTGGCCCTGCGCGTGTGTTTGAGCATGGACATTTTGTTTAAGGTCAAACAACTCAAGCATATCAAGGAGTTCTGCAGATTTGCTGGTAGCATTATCAACATCGATATTAAAGTCACCGCTTATGATAGCGTGTGTGTTATTTGTAGTGATGACAGAAAGGAGCTCAGTAGAATCATCTGTGAAAGTTCTAGAAGGCCCTGGTGGTCCATAGATGACAAGTGCTAATATCATAGGTGTACCTTTAACTTTGAAGCAAAGATATTCAAAGGAGTCATAGTAGCTGCACGCTAACTGTTTACAGATAAATCTGTCTAAAGACAGAAGCCACACCTCCTCCCCTCCTAACGAAGCACATTCAGGGATGTGAAATCTGGGGGGGAGGCTTGAATAAGAACTGGTGCACAGGTGCTACTGGTGCACAGGTGCTACTGGTGCACAGGTGCTACTGGTGCACAGGTGCTACTGGTGCACAGGTGCTACTGGTGCGCAGGTGCTACTGGTGCGCAGGTGCTACTGGTGCGCAGGTGCTACTGGTGCGCAGGTGCTACTGGTGCACAGGTACTACTGGTGCACAGGTGCTACTGGTGCGCATGTGCTACTGGTGCGCAGGTGCTACTGGTGCGCAGGTGCTACTGGTGCGCAGGTGCTACTGGTGCGCAGGTGCTACTGGTGCGCAGGTGCTACTGGTGCGCATGTGCTACTGGTGCGCAGGTGCTACTGGTGCGCAGGTGCTACTGGTGCGCAGGTGCTACTGGTGCACAGGTACTACTGGTGCGCAGGTGTTACTGGTGCGCAGGTGCTACTGGTGCGCAGGTGCTACTGGTGCGCAGGTGCTACTGGTGCGCAGGTGCTACTGGTGCACAGGTGCTACTGGTGCGCAGGTGCTACTGGTGCGCATGTGCTACTGGTGCGCAGGTGCTACTGGTGCACAGGTGCTACTGGTGCACAGGTGCTACTGGTGCACAGGTGCTACTGGTGCGCAGGTGCTACTGGTGCACAGGTACTACTGGTGCACAGGTGCTACTGGTGCGCATGTGCTACTGGTGCGCAGGTGCTACTGGTGCACAGGTGCTACTGGTGCGCAGGTGCTACTGGTGCGCAGGTGCTACTGGTGCGCAGGTGCTACTGGTGCGCAGGTGCTACTGGTGCACAGGTGCTACTGGTGCGCAGGTGCTACTGGTGCGCATGTGCTACTGGTGCGCAGGTGCTACTGGTGCGCAGGTGCTACTGGTGCGCAGGTGCTACTGGTGCGCAGGTACTACTGGTGCGCAGGTGTTACTGGTGCGCAGGTGCTACTGGTGCGCAGGTGCTACTGGTGCGCAGGTGCTACTGGTGCGCAGGTGCTACTGGTGCACAGGTGCTACTGGTGCGCAGGTGCTACTGGTGCGCATGTGCTACTGGTGCGCAGGTGCTACTGGTGCACAGGTGCTACTGGTGCGCAGGTGCTACTGGTGCGCAGGTGCTACTGGTGCGCAGGTGCTACTGGTGCACAGGTGCAATCAGATA